ATAATTTCTCTTTGAAATTTTTTTAAAGAATGCAAAAATGTTATTACAATACACTTTAAAACATGTAATTGGGTCAATAAAATACACTTAAAAATACGTTTTATTATAATTTGTTAAAAACGGAAATCAGAGCCGAAATCGCGAATTATAGCGAGAATAGTAAACGCTTTTTACGTTTCTTCGCTCATATACCATGACTTATATATCATAAAAGGTCAACGAGACAATAAAATGGTCAAAAAAAATGGAAAAAAAAAAACAATCATATGACCGTTCCAACAGCTATAAAAAACGTAACATTTTTTGAAAAAATCGAGTCAGTCCCGGATTAGGCCAATAACCAGTCATGGGCCAGACCGGACCTTGTTATTGGATGAAAGTGTAAGTGGTCCCTAGTCATGCCAGACCCATTTGTCCATCTCTAATACTAACTACTAAGTAGTAGTGATGGCCAAACCGGTCCGGGATCGCCGGACGACCGAAATCTGGGACCGTTTCATGCTTTGGAGCGATTCACGGGATCGAGACCGACCGGGACCGGTTATGGACCGGCCTGGCCTGACCCGAAATTTCAAAAGAAACTAGCCGTTTTGTAGCCGTTTTTGGATTTTTTGCCTTCTAAACACTATAAATATGTGTCTTGGTTGACAGATTTACATACCAAGTTTTCAATTCGCAAAAAAGGCAAAAGAAGAACGTTTCACAATTTTTGGTTTCTCGCTAGATTTTGTGAATTCGACTCGTATTTATTTCTCGTTTCCACTTCACAATTCTCATTTCTTTCTCTCTTTGTCTTACAAAACCGGTGAACGACATGATGCATCAAACGAACAAGTTGTCCAAGTTCTCGTCAAACACGGACGAAAGTACGAGATTTGTAATTCATACAACTTGGTGGTCCTCACGAATGGGAAAATAAAGGCACAATGCAAAATGTATCAAGCTCTCCTTTAAGCCGGAAGAAAATTATACTTTAGGGCGGCACACCGAAATAACATGTCCGGTGTTGAGGTCGGGGGCGATTCAAGCCAACCAATACTTGACACTCAAGGTTAAATATGGTCGTACGATGCCGAGTTGAACCGACAAATGACAACACAATGTGTCATTCAAGTCGGGTTGCCTTTCGAACATTTTGACAACCTCACTTTACGAAGTTGATCCAAAAAACACTACAACCACGATACAAGTCAGTAAGTCGTCAAATCTTTAGACGTGATGCAATTAAAATGTGGAAAATGAGTCGAGCTGAAATGCAACAAATGTTTTCTCTTTTGCCTAACAACATTTTTTTAACGTGTGATGTATGGAGCGCACAATACGGATTGTCAGTTTCTTATATATGTATAACGGCACAATTGATTGAGCCTTCATCGTGGCATTTATTCAAATGTGTAACCACATTAAACCGTTTGGTGCATCACATTCTGATGCACGTCAATTTTCAATTATTAAAAAATGTCTTGCATTTTATAATTCAGCTACTAAAATAATTAGCATTTCATTTGATAACGCTAGTAATAACAATCTATGTGTGGAAAAATTAAAGTGTCATTTGACACATATTTTAAATGGTAAATTATTCCATACACGTTGTTGTGCACACATAATAAATTTAGATGTTCAAGACGGTTTAAATACTTGTAAACATATAATAGATAAGTTTAGACTTATGTTGCGGAGAATTTCACAAAGGATAATAAAATGAATGCGGAATATAGAAAATATTGTGATGACATTGGTTTCAAAGCTTTGTGACCGAGTTTTGATATGCTCGTTAATTGGAATTCGACTTATTTTATGATTGAAAATTTGATAAAACAAAAAAAAAAACATTTTATAGACACTATTACCCGCAAAATTCCATTGAAAATCTTGATTGGACCGTGGTTGAAAGATTGTACGATATTTTAGGCGATTTAAAAAATGCAACAACACTTTTATCCGGTATTTATTGTCCAACAAACGCTTTAGTTTTAAACCAATTATATATTTTTTGGCAAGTAAGATTGTCCAAGACGAAAACCATCACGATTGAGGAAGATTGATGAGTTCAATGAAAAAGAAATTGTTAAAATATTTTATGAGCATCCAATTTGTTTTTCTTTGTGCTGCGGCGTTAAATCCATATTTAAATATTATCGCTGTTGAAATTTTAATTACACAAATATGTGTGGCATTTGGTTTTAGATACGACTACGGATAATTCTTTCTCAACGGAACAAAAACTTTTTGTGAGTCCACAAGTTGATCAATCTTCATAAAATCTTCATACAATCATGGCAGAATCAGATATTCAATAAGAACACTTGAGAGGAGTTGAGAGGATTTGTCAACAAGTCAAAATATATTATGTACGTATGAATTTTACAATTGAGCTCTTCACTTACAATTTACACTAAAGACAAATGCTTTATATAGGGTCAAACTAAAACCTTCTAGTCAAAGTCAACAATACAAGGAAATTCAAACACGATGTCTTTACAATTATAGACAAATATTATCTTTCAAGACGAATACAATTTAGCACTGAAATTCAAACCCAACACTTCTGTTTAATCGTAATTTTCAAGATTTATTTGATCATTATAAACATTTTTATAGAACAGGAAACCAGCAACAAAGCTCTTCAAGTCGTGGGTTTGCGGGTTCTAGTTCTTCTAGTGGTCATCGATAAAGTCGGAAAGAGTTGATGACTAATTTAATGAACGATGTTTTAATTGAATCAAGTAAAAAAAGACAATTTGAAAACGATTTGTGTGAATTAAATATATATATATATATATATGTGTATACTAACTTTATGGCCGCATGCCCTGTAAATGATGTCGAAGATTTTGGAAAAATGGATCTATTAGATTTTTTAAAACAAAAGCAACTTCAATTCCCGGTTTTGGCATGCATAGCACATGATATACTAATAACCCAAGCTAGTACCCTAGTTTCGGAGTCCACTTTTTCTCTTAGTGGCAGGATCATTTCGATATGTCGGACAAGACTAAGCCCAGAGTCCGAGGCGTGTTGTATCTATTTGAAGGATTACTTGGATAACGTTGATAGAATTCAATATACGACATCGTTAGAGTTTAAGATTAAAGGCGGTGGAAGAGAGAGAATTTGGAAGAAAATGAAATCGCTATGAGACTAAGCATGCTGCCAACTACCGATACCGACAACACTTACTCACAATATGACGATGATGAGGAACTCAACATTGATGACTTTGATGACCAAGAGGCTATTAGAAGAATTCAAGAGACCGGAACTCTTCAAATCAATCCGGCATGAAATAAGATGATGATTGATGAATAAGTGTATTTTCAAATAATTTTATAATGTATTTTTGTAAGATAATGTAATTTTAATTATAATAATACGTATTTTTAAAGTGTATTTGAATAACTCAATTACAAATTTTATAATATATATTAAAAATATATATCATTAAAAATTTATAAAAAAATTATTTTTTAATGGTAGGGACCGGTTGGGACCGGCCAACTGTGACCGGTTATAACTCACCTTAATCGGGCTCAACATTTTTTGACTGGGACCGGTTACGCCTGGACCAGTTATGTCCGGCACTGTTGAGGCCCGGGACCTGTTTTTTGCCATCACTACTACGTAGTAACGCCTAACTATTTCCACCTACAAATAGTATGAAAATCATATTGTAAAACTCAATGGACTAGAGAAAACCTTGAAAAAAACCGAAGAAACTACAAAAAAAATGAATAAAAATATATATCAAAAAGGATGTCAAATTAAAGATAATAAAGTGATTGTTTTTTTAATTTATTTTGCTCCATTTTTTTGGTATTTCGCTAATTTCCGAATTAAAAATTAGGAGGAAATATTTGTATTTCTTTTAAAAAAAATCACATCCGTTTAATCATCTCAATTCAATGGTTTGAACGAGTTCGGCGGTTCTTTTTTCAGGTTCTCTCCCGAGCTCATTCCTCCGACACTCCTAGGTTCATTATTCATCAGGAGTCGCATTCTGCTTTGACAAACCACCAAATCCGTCAACCATCCGACACATGTTACCTGTCATTGGTTTATTTCAACTCTCTCCAGCATACAAACTAGGGTTGAATCACTTCTTACAACATCATGCAATAATTAAAGCAATCATCCCTACAGGTACAGGCTACAGAGAAGACCCATATCAATAGTAATCACATACCTACCTCAACTATTTTCCCCATCACTGGACCAACCAAGTTTCTACTTTTAATGTGGCATCAGCATTCAGCCCAAAGGGAATTTCCAGGGTCACTTAATGCCTTGTGAAACATCTAATACCCCGTTTACCAACAATTACCAGGTAAGAGTCATCACCTTCACTCAACAAGTAACATTTTCGGTTAGCATTAGTATAAGCGTCTCTTATCCTCTCTTGCCTTAGCCCGCATAAGAGCCACAATCCTCACTGGAAGAGAGGCGGTAAGTGTTTGATAAACAACCCTTAAATGTCATGTTTGAATTTCACTAGACGCTATCAATCCTTTTAGGGTCAGGCCATGCCTGTTGGCCCCAAGTCCTAATGCTTGTGTGGCCCGTTGCATAAATTCTTTTTTTTTTTTTTTTGTAACCATACCCAGCTCATCGACCTTCTAGTAAAGCTAAGCAGCTAACACCTTAAAGAAATTGAATATTCAGACCAGCTTATGTGCACCTCAACTAATCCCATAAGACTCTGAAGTTAGAACCAGTGATGTCCAAACCCAAAGTCTTACCGGTTAAGATACCTCTCAGGATTTAATTCCATCATCCTACAAGCATATCTAAATGCATGGAAGTTCCCATATCAACCCAGTTTGTAGGAAAGGCAGATAATCAATAAACTGAAATTCCTGAGGGCTAACTCGGATCTTGGGTTTGCCTCCTAGAGGTCACCAATTCAAGTCCCCCTAGGGCTGTTGGCCGTAAAATTTTGGGTCAGTCGAGCAAGCTGGTGCAGATATCCACGGTTACAAAAATAAAATAAAAAAACAAAATGAAAAAACTACCTCCCAAGTGCAGAGATAAAGCCAATGCATAAGCTCAAGATGATGTCACTCTGCATTTGATAATACCTGTTCAGCAAAAATTCACTTGTAAAAGAACCGGAGTTGTATCTATGATTCTTCAAAAGGGAAGGCAGAATATAATACTATCTTTCACAAAAGAAGGCATGCAACAGGAGATGTAAGATAAAGCATAAGATTATGGCTTGGCGGTTGTTGATCGTTTCTTTGAGACTACTTGTTTCTTATCGGCATCTGCAGCCTTTCTCTTGTCTTTTTTCTCTCTTTTTTTCAAAGAAGTCATACGGGCCTTCAAAATGGTAGCATAAGATGCTTGAAAGCGTTGATGGTCCTTTGTTCCAACCTGTTATCAAGGAAATCAATCAGCATAACATCCATTGTGATCTAGAAGGAGAAAGATCATCCAGCACTGCAAATAGTTAGCATTTTACATCATATATAATTTCAAATAACTGTTACATATTAATATATTATAACAACATAACAGTCAATCTAGTGATATATATATATATATATATATATTCCAACTTTTTCAAGAAGAATCATTCATCCAAAAAGGAAACCGGAATGAGTACAAAGGACGGGTGTTTTTACAGAACTCAATAGTTTTTTATTGTTTATACCAAGTCTAAATCCCACCAAGAATGGATGAATGAGCTTGCGGCATACATCCTTCTCGGAAACATTTATCTGTATATAACCTGTCATAGACGAATCCTAGAATCTAGGATCTTGGTTTTTAATGAAAAACAAGTACCTGAAGTAACTGGTCAACCTAATTAAAAGTGATTTTCTTTTAATAATAATCTTTAAACAAGATCCTAGAGCCATCCAAGTTACATACGAGCAAGTCTCAAATAACACCCATCCCAATAACTAACACCATCAGTTTCGCAGCCAACTACTCTTTCACACATTTTATAATCATTTTACGCAGCATTTGCTTAACCTTACAAGTTTAGCACTTGGTTACTTGTCAAACTAATCTGAGAGGTGTGGCGACTCCTCCACGACTTCTAGGCAGTATCAGTGACTATAGAAGACTTCCACATCCTGAACATTGTTTCTGACAAACATTTCCATTATACCAAGGAACTGCTTCGAAGTTAAGAATTAACATTATAATAAAATCAAAACCCCGAGAGTTCCACAAAATATATACGCATTGACATTGCAGATCTCCCTGCCAATTCTTCAAGGAAAAAAATGAGTTAAGAAGAATTTAGACTTGTAATTGTGGGAGAGATCGGGACAAAATCAGAAAATTTCGTCTCTCAATGATGCTAATGATAGAACTTCCATTTTAAGCCTAGTGGTGCTTTCCAGATTTGCACATATAATTCCTTGATGACAGAGATAGAGCTTAAGTTTCAAATCTAGCAGTGAACTCCAACATCACACAGATAATTCACTGATTCCTCCCTACTGGTTCTTGCCATTCAGCCCCCCTTAGAATGGTTTCACCAAAATCTCAATCTCTCTATTTTTGCGAACACTTCAATATCAAATCAATACAAATTTCTAAATTGACCAAGGAATCTTCTGTTCATAAAAATATTTCATCAAAATCTCACTATCTCTATCTTGTTGCTTTTATCTTCACACTTCTCACATTTCATAACATCAACAATCATGGTGCATCATGTCATTAAACCAAACCAAACCAAACCAAACCCATGCCATTAAGACGAAGCAGATCTTAAAATAATATGCCTTTTTTTACTTTATTCCACATGATGTCTCTCTAACAGTTGCTAACAAGGATACCTGGGACACATCACCAACACTCCAATGTGACTTTGGTAAAGCCTGCATGCACCTACAGGCAATATATTCATTTAAGCTTGGGATGAGCCCAAGTGAAAACATTGATAACCAGGAATTCAGAATATGGTATTTAATGAGAATGGTGTCAACATTTGGGTTGGTCTCTGAAGCAATTTGCTCCACAGGGCTCCTATAAAAGCCTAATTTTTCAGGCTACATGAATCTAACCATGGAACCTTGATATGCAATGAAACCTTAGGGAAGACCATGCCCAACGTAACAAAGGCATTTTGCCATTTTCGGGTCACTTTCAAAGAGAGGATGAAAGGAGTCCATATAAGATAATGAAGTATTCAGATTTTGGAAATAAAATGTCAAATGAGCAACATCAAACTGGTCAAGTACTAACATCCTACACTTCTCACTTCTAAACTACCTACGAGATTATCCATCCACACAAATAAAACAATTTAATACTAGTCCCCACATACTGTAGAGCAAGATGTTGAGTGAATAAAAGATATATAGAATGAATAAGCCAGTGTTGTACAATATGTTGATGACTTAAGGTGGATGGTTTTTCAAATCGATTTAGGAGACAATGAGGCAAGCCCCATTAAAATGGTCTTATTATTTCCGAGGTAGACCTTTAAATGCATATGCTATAAGAGGACTTCTACCAGAGGGGGTCGTCAAGAGAATAAAGGTCAGCCAAGATTGCTGCGAAACTAGGAAGCAGTGAAGAAGACTTGAACCAGTGCCGAGTGGATTACACATAAGGACTTAGCTTTAGATATGACTGCATGGAAAGATATCATTCATGTCATAGAACATGTGGAGGTTTGTCATTATGGTTCATATTATTTTCATTCTTAGCCTACCACGATTGACTTGCAATAAGAAAGTTGTCGGTTGTAATGCTCCAAGCCCAAAGCAAAACAAACTAGCCCAATAACCTCCAAGAAAACTAAAATCATGGTGGAAACTTATTAGTAGTACACTACTAGGAGCTTACAAGGGAATCACAATATCACTCGCATGCAATGTAGAATGGAATGTCACAGACACTCCCACTTACATTACTTGGTGTAGCACAAAGTTCTTTCGCCATATCTCGGAAAGAGCAAGTAAAAGGAAAACCTTATCAAGATGAGAAATAACAACGCATAATGACACCCTTCCCCACTCCCTCCAAAACACACATTGATGAAGACACCAAAAAAGAAACTGATAAAACATGAAGTAACAAGGTATTGATTCAAGAATAAATATTACCAAATTTAAAGATCAAGGCAATAATACTAAAACCGATTCTCGTCTTCTAAGCATGAGTTGTTGAGTTAGTATGGTTTTTTTTTGTTAACTGTGGGTGTGTGGTCCAACTTGCGTGCACCTCGACTAATCCCAGGGCCCTGGACAACAACCAGAAAAACCCCCGGTGGTATTGCAAGACTCGAACCAGTGACCTCTGTGGAGAATCCCCAAAGACGACCCAATCCTTATTGCCAGTTGAGCTAACCCCACAAGGTTAGGATGGATAGAAGTTAACAAAGTTGGTTAAGAAACCACCTTGTTACATTACACTTACCTACTTGAGTGGCAGAAGACCGACAAAATGAAATTTATACACTAAGTTCCAACTTCATGAATGCTTCAAAGACAAAAGAAAAACTCCACAGTTTTAACCTATTTACTTCTATCAACTTCTCTATTTTGGTTCCCTCATAATCCCCCAAGAATTCAGACTCCAAAGTAGTAACCTTCATAGATCCAAAAGGGCATATACTAAGGTTTGCTAAGTCATCCATTCAGTATTAACACTCGTTTACCATAATTTGTGTTTGAACATACTTTGGTCGGTTCTCTCTTATTGGCCTGTCAAAAAGTGATAGCAAAAAGAACGTAAACAGAAAGTTTTTGTCAACTAGCAAGTCATTTGGTTTGTCTAAACCATGGATAATCCACCAGCACCAAAGGTAAATCCCCTGTGTTCAAACTTTCAATGAACTTGGTAGGAACTACACACCTAAGCAAACACCAGGGCCAGAAACAATATCTAATAAAGTGGTAGTGCAAATGAAATATATGGTTTGATGTCATCCAATGATACTAAAGACGCCATAAGCAAAAGAAACAACAACCAACCAAAAAGACAGCTACCATAGCCTTCTAAAAGAAATTAAGTTAACAATGAAAAACATTTCAGTTTAAAGTAAGGAAAAGAAGAAAAGTTAAGTTTAAACTAATCACCAGTGTGGAAATGTTCTTCTTGCCATCAGTTGCCCTAACAAGACATTTGTACTCAAGTTCTTTACCAGCAGTTGTCATCTTATTCCTCTGCACCTTAGACTTATCAGATGCTGGGGAATAGTTAACAAATTTACAATCAATGTCTTGAAAGACAAAAGTAGCCAGAGCAACAAATTCGAAATCAGGGAAGCAAAAAGAACAAAGAACAAACTTACAGTGTTTGAGAGTAACCCACACAGAGCCTTTTTCTGTAGTGTGCTCAAACATGCTAGTTAGTTCATTGAGAAATGGGTCAAGCTGTAAGCGTACCTAGCATCATTAAATATAACAAGCAATTCAGGCATGTTCCAAATACAAGACTTGTTGCCTTTAAATTGTAATATAACCATGTTTAAATAACAAAGGAGGGGAAGACCACAGGGTGGTACAAGGGAATATGGTGACAACTTACATTGACCTAAATGGCAAAATTAATTGCTCGCAACACACAAAGATGTCTCCTAAAGCAATATTCGTTCACTTAAAGAGCCATGCCAAAAGTTGTGAGGGCATATGGGACAACACGCATCATTACACCTTCCATAATGCTTCCTCCGTCTAGTACCACTAGCATGATTGGCTTAAAAGCCTAAATCTAGCATGCATATAGCTCATTAAAATTGTCTTGCATCCACAAGATTTTACCTTCCAGGAGACCCTCCAAAAATACAAACAATTAAAATAGTAGCAACTAGGAAAAGTTATATACTTATATAAACAGTCTTCATTATAGGCTATAAATAATTAAAGAAATAACTAAGATTAAGATGCACTGTAACCATCTATTAATCTATTCTACAAAGATTTCAACACAGAAAGATGGATAACTTATAAGCTCCATAGTGTTAAACTAGCTCCCAGAGGTCTAACAGCTCTGAACTGGACAACCATGATCATAATATAACACACAAAGCTACTGATGTCGTCCAGAGAAGAAAATATAATGTGACATTATTCGCAATGAGCTGGAAAAACTCCCACATATGAGAATCATCATTATAATCCCATCTGATCTACACAAGTGCGTTGTAAAAGTAAAAGATAAGTTAACCAAATATCAACTCTGGGGAGTTAGTTTAATTGCAATCGGCTGATTATGTTAGGAATGCACCTTTGACTTACTAAGGCTATGTATGAGAATTTTGTTACATTAGTGAAATTAATCATTATTTTGCTGATTCACAGACCTATATATAAGGGAAATTAGTGAGGATAAATATTGGTTGTAAAAGAACAAATATAATGAGAAATTATCTCTCTAAATAGTGGTCTGAAAATTTTGACCCGCATTAGTGGAGAAACTCATTAAAATTTATGTTCTATCCATGAACCAAATCAACATGGTTTTACTACAGTGTTTATGGAATTTGTGAGAGCACATCAAGTCATGGAGGATTCTAGCTTTAAGCCCCTCAGCAACCCCTTTGGTGGAAGAGCATCAGAAGCCTTAAGAACATAATGAGACCTGCATGTAGTCTATGCTAGGTTGTTCTGTTCCTTGTTGATAGTTTTGTAGCCAACCCTTTCACCTGAGGTCAACAGCTTTAACAATCTGAAGGTTACTGCTTCTCAGATGGACACCCATTTGTTCAGGATCATGAATCAACACTTAGTAAGGCTTTATGATAGGTTTGACAGCATTAATTTCATATGCAGGCAAGGCAAAGTGAAGTTCCTCCTTATTGTCCTCAAAGTAGACTGTGGAATGCAAGCACCTGTTCATTCTGCAGTTGGCTTTAAATGGAGCAGGGCCAAGGTCTTCCGTAATTGGAGGAAGACCTGTATGCTATTGTTAAAAATCCAAGGGCAATCTAGAATCTCCACAAGTACAATAATAGAACGGTTTTTAAAAGGAGCACCAACTATCTAGTTTATAAAATATTTAGATTTGAAGGTGTTTGATAACAAGTCAATGTTAGAAGAAGTGCTCGAGTTGCAGGCTTTATAGTGAACAAATGAAATTGTTGCTGATCATCATGGTTTGCCAGTTGAAGGTAATTGTGTCCCTCACACAGATTTTTCCTAGAAAGTTCTACACAAGTCTGAGGATTACAAACTAGACTAGATCATGAAGCATCTCGACACCGGGTAGGAAAAGAGAAAGCATGATTAAAAATCCGTCATCCAAGGACAGTCCCCTGTTAATCATACTAAGAAGGTTCTTCTAATGGTAAGCATAACAAAACATCAAGAACTGCAATGTCATTGTTAAGAACAACATTCAAACCTTAAAAAATCAGGAAAAAGAAAAGCATTTCTAAAAAACCAGCACGTGGAGAGAAGTAACTCCATGCTAGAGTGAAAAGGCCATCACAGCAGCATATTTATTGTGGTTTGTGGAAAAGGTGCTAGACCTCAATGAATGCGTGCACAGAGGCAAATCCAGAAAAACTTCCAAGCAGGGACACAAAATAATCAGCATAAATATGAAATAAAATGAAAATTAACTATAAAAGTATGGTTTCATTAGAAATGACAAACAATTGGTTTTTCACAACATACAAGTGGGTTTTTCCTTCTTTTCTTGTTACCAAAAAATTGAGAGATGCAAAGGAATTTGAACTTCCAACCTCTAATGCCACATGCAATGCCACTACCAGTAGGTTGCAGCCACTTTTTGTTAATTTAAGGGATCAAACATCAATTTAAAGCGGGTGCATCCTTAGACCACCAAAAAACTTACCACTATGTCGCACAATAGAGCGGGTACACGGTCTTCTTGAATATCCCCCTGTGTGTGCTTCTTTATAGATGCATACGTTCTGCAATTATTACTTTACCAGTCCTACAGCATGGTTCTTCAACCCTAGAGTAGTCGTTCATGTGTGTGGTAGAGATAATAAAGTAAATGAGTTTCTTAAATCCTACTATAAGAGGCTACTTGAATAACTTGTAGCTATAACATGAGAAGAAATTGGCACCTAGTGACAGGAGTTTAATGCACTCCCATGGACACAGGCATACGAGGTGACGTGCAATGTGAAAGGCACATGGCACGAATAGGTGCAGTTTGGGCTTTGCTCGTTGTGTGGACCCTCACTCTAAGCTACGACATTTATTTTTTGTTCAATATAGAACCAAAAAGAATTGTTACTACTATTTACAGTAATCCTAACTTTAAAATATCAGCAGATAATGATTGACTGATGAGGTATAATGGTGGTTATAAACCAAGCTACTTGATTTTCAAGATCTGATTTCGGATCTCCATCATTTCCAATAACCTTATTTCCTCATTCTTTTTAATACATATAACTAACTACTGAAAATATTGAAGTGAAAGGTATTGGCAAGGAGTAACATAGACATAAAACACACAAAGGTCTCGTCATGGCTAAAGGTTTGTGCTGCTCTTTTGACAAAGATATTGTTCAAGAGCTCGAAGCAGTACGCCTCCAGGATTTGATTCGATGTGCATCACAAATTGAATCAATAATGATAACAAATCTATGCTAGTTCAGTTGATACACAAAGAAAAAGATGATGAAGACGCAGAAAGAATTCCCTAGGTTTTTTAGTGTGTACAAATCTACTCAACAAGTATTCGATTTCCAAATATCAGGGATGTAGGGTTATCAAAACTCATAAGGTATCAAATTCAATTAATCAAATATATTGTATTCACAACCACGGACCACCATTATCCTTTCCAATCAGCCTCTCTTTGTGATATTTCAACAAACCTTTTACTTTTAGCTTGAACAACAGCAACAAAGGAAACTAAGGCTGCTCAGCTTTCAAGTGTTATCGAACAATGCCAATGCACCTTTGATGTCACACACTGCCTACTGCAGTCATCACTCCCCCAGCCTAATGCATGTGCATGCTAAGGGTTAAAGGATTCAATGTTAGCCAAAATCACAAACTAAACCGCCCCTGATCAATTCCACTTTTTACGAAATTGAACCATGCATGAACCAACTTGATCCTCTTCCCCAAGGATCCCCGATACATGATTTCTTTTTCATATAGATAGATACAGGATCTATGGGGTAATTACCTTGGGCATGTGGTAATACATCTAAGAAATTATTCCATCGAACATACTCCCCCCCCCCCCCCCCTTGGCGGGATACTTAACGCGTTAGCTACAGCACTGCACGGGTTGCAGGCTGCAACTCGCCTGCATGAAGTGCGAATCGCTAGTAATCGCTGGTAACCGAAACAATCGAGAATCTAAACCATGGTTCAAATAAACATTAAATAAGTATCAATGCAAATATAAACAAAACTCAAAGCTAGTGCTATGCAATGACACCACAAACCAAAAACTAAAGGTAAACAGCAACTGCAAATAACAAATTGAGTTAAAAAAAAAATGACCAACAAATGCACATGGATGCTCAAATTACCAGCTATATATTCAATATCAGCAAACAACAATGTGTCGCAACATTTACCATGGGCAAGAGCTCATGTCATGAAAATGAGACTACTGCTAAAAAGGCTAGTTTTTAAGGGCTATACAAATTGCCAACATCATAAAAAAAATGATGGCCACAGTTCCAAATTATCAATTGATCCGAGAATACTAATGATTTTCCTGTTCCAGCATACTTGCAAAATAGTTACATTAATAGGATTCAAAAAACAACATCATAACACAAAAAGGAATTAAGGATCCCTAACTCATGGTAGACCATACATCAACATGCCTTAGAAGCAAATAACCAAAAGGATTCTTTTGAATTCAGCAACGCCATCCAAACCTAGTGGCTACACTAAGATTAGAACACTGACTGGTACTTTAAATTTGGCAGCAAACTCAAGAGTTAACAATGGTGGATCTCAGCAACAAGCAAATACGATTAAACGAAGAGAAAAAAGGATGAATCAATTACCATAAGGAATCGCCCGGAGGATCGAGTAGGCTGTCGCCGTTCGCTGAATCGAGGAAGAGCAGGGCTGAATCGTCAGCGTCAAGGTCGAAGGCTGTAGACTGGCGATGGAAATCAGGGTTTCTCTAATGGGGGCTTGTTATACGTTTGCCAAAATTAATGTTGATTATGAATTTGTTTTTTTATTATTATTTTGGAATCAAAATGAAACGAAAAGTAACGAGTTGAAATACAAAACATTGGTTAGAAGAATAAAATAGCAATTTATCTTTATAAATTTTATATTATAATTAACGTTGTATATTGTAAGGATTGGATCAGATCAAATTGCCGAATCTGAATCTAATTGGGTATCAAGTAACATAACTTACATACGAACCAATCCTTGTTTCTTCGGATATTGTGTTTCAGGTAGGGTATGGACCAGGGGAGGATCAAGGAGAATTTTTTTTGTTGTTGCACCATAGCACACAACCAAACAAAATCGTAACAGCCTTAAGGAACTTGGAACAAAATTACACTAAATCTGATTTTCTTTTGTGGTTCACAGGTACCCACTGGAACCCCCTAAATCAGCCCTTGATATGCACTGGTTTCAGGCCTTTTCATTAGAAAACTAATATAGAAAGAAAACAAGAAAAAACAAGTTCTACTTCGAGAGCAAGCATCTATCATATTTCTGGCTGCGACCATGGCTAAGGCTAAATTGTGTTTACAAAGAATCATGACTAGGGTTGTCACTACTCGATCTCTCCATCCATATGAATGTCGACACCAGACTTAATTTTAGAAACTTAATCAATTTAATAAAAACAAATTTGTAACGTACATAACCTTTGAAAATTCATGCATCTAGCATTGACATCAAAACAATCCTCTCCACAAGGAATAGTTAAGATTTGGATTATTAACGGATGTGATATTTGCTCAATATAAAATATTAGTATCATTCGAAATTTCAGGTCTTCGGGTGGGGTTTAGCAAGCTTAACCCGGTCTATTAATCTGAAACAAAAATGTTGGCTTCGGATATCAGATTTCTACTTGGGTCAGATGTCCAAACAAGATAGCAACTCAGGTCGGTTGGATGGGTATTTCCGTAATACCTTTAATCTTCTAGTTGTGTGGTTATTTAAAGGTCCACGGGTATGTTTTGTTACCTTCCCTATATTTGGTTATGGCATGTTTGGTTTGAAGTTGGTTTTATATGTTCTTCATGTTTAAATAACATAATTTAGAAGCTTCACTCCATGGGTTGAGTTCTCGAGTCTTTGAAATCTTTATATTCAATTTTCTTTGTCTTGAAAATCTTCGTAAAATTTTGAGTTCTTAAATTATGAAGAAGGTTGATATTTTAGTTCTATGATTTAATGTTTGATTGCCAAAGTAATTATCGTGTTCTAAGTTCTAGTTTTTGTGAGTTGCTTGGTAAAATTCTGGATCTGAAGCAGGTTTAAGGGCTAGTTGGATTTTGGTTTGAAACATAGGTTGTGCAGGGGAGAACTGAACCTGGAAATCACATTCCAGCGTGGAATGTGACTTCCATGCGACCTAGGTCGTATCAAGGTCGCATTCTGCACTGTTTTGTGATTTTTCGTTTTTGTTTTGAGCCGTTTTGGGGTCTTTTGATGTATCGTTTAAGTGCCTTAGAATGTGTTAAGAGTTATGGTGAAGTTTAATTGCATAGATTGTGATGTGTCTTTATATGATTCAGATTCACGTGTTCGATATCAAAGTTCGTTACTGATTAAGAGTTATAATGTATAATCGTGAACTAAGTGAGTTTCTTACAAATCTTTAAAATTGAAATGCATACTACATGAAACGCTTTCATTTATAATTCAAAATGTTAGTGTCATCATATGGGAATTGCATAAAGTGTTTTTGTTGATCCTCTCTCTCAGTGATTTGATGATAATCCTTTTTTCCTTTCACGTTGTATTTGTGTTTCTGTATTTTCAGTTCCAGCGATCATCACTGAGTATGTTCAGTGATCGCTGAAGAACTTG